CTTCATTCCGCTTCGTCATCCCTTCAAAGCTCCTCAGGTGGCCAAGGTTTTTTGGGATCACGTCGTCAAGCTGCACAACATTCCAAGCTCCATCGTCTCCGACCGCGATCGCGTCTTCACCAGCGCTCTCTGGCGCGAGCTCTTTGCCAGTGCGGGCACCAAGCTGCTCTTCTCCACAGCATACCACCCCTAGACGGATGGCCAGAGCAAACGCGTCAACCAGTGCATGGAAATGTACTTGCGTTGCGTGGTGCACGACGCGCCCAGGCAATGGCGTCGCTAGCCGCCGACCGCTGAATTCTGGTACAACTCGTCGTTCCACTCCTCGATCAAATGCTCCCCCTTCAAAGCTCTGTACGGCATCGAGCCCAACCTGGGCGCCATGGCGCTCTGGGACGACAAGACGATGCCCATGATCGACGGTGAGCCGTGGGACTGGGGCGTGCACACGGCAAGGCTGCGAGATCACATTCTGCGTGCCCAACACAGATTCAAGAAGCAGGCCGATCAGCATCGCACGGAGCGCTCCTTCGAGGTGGGCGACAGTGTTCTCCTCAAGCTCCAACCTTACGCACAGTCATCGGTGGCGAACCGGCCCTGTGCGAAGTTGGCGTACAAGTACTTCGGGCCATTCGTGGTGCTCGACAAGATTGGCAAGATGGCGTACAAGCTAGAGTTGCCGGCGGACAGCAGAATCCATCCAGTCTTCCACGTGTCCCAGCTCAAGCCGTTCACACCGAACTACACCCCGGTCTTCTCCGAGCTGCCGCGTCCTCCAGACCTCGCCGGGCACGACGACGAACCGGTGGAGATCCTGGAGCGCCGCATGGTCAAGCGTGGCAGCAGTGCTCTGGTGCAGATCAAGGTGCGCTGGCGCAACGATGACACGGCGACGACGTGGGAGGACTACGACACCCTACGCCGCCGTTTTCCGCTAGCACCGGCGTGGGATGAACCTGAAGACGCTGAGCAGCACGCTGAACCTGAAGACGGCGCCCGTTCTGAAGGAGTGGGGAAGGTCACACCTGCATCGCCAGGAGGTGATGCGGTGGACGCGTGATGGTGGGTCCCCTGTGGCCAGTTGGCACGGGCCCACCAGTCAGGCCAGGCGGACAAGTGGAGCACGGCTATATAGCCAGCTGTAGGCCAGTAGACAGGGCATGTGATGTGTAATCTCTAAACTGAACCTCTCCCCACCTAATCTGTACCTCCTCCCTTGGCGAGAACCTTCTCCCCCAAGTCTCGATCTCATCCTCTTCCCCTCCCGATTCAATCCTGCGAGGATGAGTTCGTGACAGCTGCACTGGTTGACACTCATGGCATCGACCCATCTGACCGAGAGGAGCTACTGCAATGCGAACACCTCTTTTGTCTAGAACAAGAACGACGACAACAACAATGACTATGGCCTTTACAACAGTTCCAATGATACCGAGTAAGGAGCAAACCGGCCTTGGCCTGGCGCTCTCAGGTGAGAATGGCCCCAAAGCTTGGTCCTATATTGTAAGACTCATCATTTCCAACTCATCTGCTAAAGTGCTAATTCACAGACTCTTTGCTCGGGTCTTCAAAATCATCAAACATCGAAATATAATATTGAGAAGCTACATAGGAATCTTAAGTCAGTACAAGCACAAAATGATGCTACACCCTTGATAAATTTAATACGAAGGGATGTGAACTGAATCCTTAAATGTTGGAGAAACTACATAGGGATCTTAAATGAAGGTATGCATCTAATATTGAAAAGCTGAATTCTTAAATGTTGCAAACAAGTAACCCTAAAATCTCAAGTCTTGCTTGGATTCAGTGAAACAAGTAAGGTTTTTGCCTATAAAAAGTACATCTAAAAGGTGACAAAAAGGACTTAGCTGTAGCAAATGCTGATGCCTGCCAATGTTCTGAACCTGTAGAAATGAACTATCTGTTGTTAGGGAGAAGGCAAAAAAAGAACATATGAAACTATCTGTTCTGAACTTTTTAATGCTGCGTTTGGCATTGCGGTGGATAATGATAATTCACCTTTTACCGCTAGTTCCATGGCTATTATCCCACAACAATGCTAGTTTTGCATTGGGGTGTATGCAGAACATCATGCACTAAAACAACCACTCTCGGTCATGAACTGTAGGACGATACAGAAAGAAAAGAATCACAAGCATCAATTCTCCTGTGTGGAAGGATCATATACTTGGCCTCATATATGAAGTACAGAATTGTCTTGTACTGGGCCTCATATACCAGATACCAAATTGACTTTCCTAATGGTACAGACACGTTCACATTATGATAGTTTTTGTACACACACTATCTTTTATTTCAGTGTAGTCATGTCATGAAACAAAAAATGTAGAAGTAGATTATATTAGCTTTGCTTCATTGCATCAGCGAGATTTGTCATGTGTGCATAGGTATCAAATCAACCGATCTCTGATGCATAATTATCAGAATTGTGCAATGCACATGTAGCGACCCAAATTTAACAGAACTTAAAATCACAAAAAAGAAAATATTCTATGGTCTGAAGTCTGAACAAAAACAAGAAGCTACCCAATGCGAATCTGATGGCTAAGGCATGCGCATATAGAGTCTGAATCTGAAAAATTAAGCCAACTTACCTTTTCCTTACCGATTAAATAGAAACAATATATAAAGAATGAGACATTGCACATGCAAGAATGGTTGGTTCCAGAAAAGAAAAGTCTTGTAATATATTCAAATTTAGACATATAGGCAAAGTTAAGCTGCTAGCACAACATGAACCAACATTGGTTCAAGCTTAAAGAGTGAAAAATTATTATCATCATGTCATCAATTTCTCTTCTGTGGAAAGAACATATACTGGGAATTCCTTATAATCATGTCATCAAATTCTCGCTATTTCTTTGCTTCAATTTCTTCAGGAGGTTCAGAGGAACCTTCTTTTTCCATACAGTGTTGGACTACTATGTAGAATCTGTACATGTTCAAATAAGAATGCCATTCATATCGTACTCGTAGGAATATACTATCTGGTACTCCTACCTAACATTGCCATTGAGGCCTTGCCGATAATCAACCATGCAGCAGTGCAGATCTATACTTATCATTCAGAAAAAAACAGTGCATTTCTACTGCTTCTGAATTTCGTTGAAATAGCCAACAGTTACGGCAAAAAACAACAAAACAACACGAGGGAGATGCAGACCTAGGCTCACCGAGGGTGGAGGAGTCAGGCGTGGCAGCGGCTAAATGGAATTGAGGAGGGCAGCCGAATTAGGCTAAGGCGATATGCTGGTACCCGACGAAGGGTCGCCTTCCCCGTGCAGTCCCTCGGGTGACCTGAATTAGCCGGAGACGTCGTGTCAGAGGAGGTCGACAAGGCGGTGATGCGGTTGACGGAGTCGAGGAGCGGCCCGGTGATGCGGTTGACGGAGTCATGTCATCAATTTCTCTTCTGGGCGAGTGGAGCGGCGGCGGCGGAGGGTGAGCGGAGCAGCGGCGGAGGAGAGGACCGGCGGTGGAGGGCGAGCAAAGCGAGGAGGAGTGAGCGAGCCAAAAGTCGTGGTGCGAGGCATGCATGCGTGCTCCTCCTCCCCCGCGGCACCCACCGCTACTCTATGGAGGGCGCCTTCCGCATGCCGGCCACCGACGACGACTCGGCTGCCATTCCCGGGCCGTGGCCTCGATCAGATCGAGAGATGAGAGGACGGGGCAGGGCCAGGGAAATCCTCCCGCTCGTGCACCTGTAGTCTCACATGAACCAGAAGAGGAACAGCGGCGAGCGGCTCGGCGGCGACCGGCGGCTCGGGGCGGCGAAGGGCGGCTCCAGCGGCGGGGGCGGCGAATGGCTGCGGGAGGAACGGGGCGGGAGGACGTGGGGCGTGCGATGTTAGCAGAGGTAAATTTTTTAACTGCGGTGGTTAGCGATAGATGGCCTCTTAGTGGCTTAATGCATGGTTGGCAGTGTTAAACATAGAAGGATTAAGAGCCATTAGATCTTGTTAATGGATGGGTAAGATTGTTTGGATCTGCCCCTCTCTTCCTTTTATAGGGGTAGATATATAGTTAGCTTTTGAAAATCCTTTTGGAGGCCAAGCTCCATGGAGGCGGTTTTTGAAAAATCCAAAACTTGAGTTTTCACCAACATACGCAATAGGCCGCTAATGAGAATGTCTGCCAATTACTTACAAAAAGCTGATAGTGTCGAAGCAAATTCAGCCTGATATTTTCATGCACGAGCGATTGCCAAATCTGGAGTGACAATAATCACAACACATTATCGCTGAAACTCAATATTTAAGAGATTTAGGGGCTATTTGGTTCTAGCCTAGCATTGCCACATTTTGCCAAGCTTACCTATGGTTAGTTCATTCATTGAAATAAAGGCCACAAGTTAGCAAGCCTAAAAATTTATTGCCACACTTTTTGTGTGTATGCCATATGGGACCCAACTGTGGCTTGAACCAAACACTTCAAGGTCAAACTTGATGTGATAATCTTTGCTAAAGTTAGTCACAAACCAAACAAAAACCAAACAACTCCTTAGACTGCAATAAGCATCAAGAATTGGGAAGAACAGGGTAGCAAACATCGAGTAATTGCCAAACCTGCACTGACAAAAACCGCACTACCTTATCGCTCAAACTGAATATTGAAAAGGTTAAGACTGCACCAAGCATCGAGAATTGGGAAGAACAGGGTACTAGGATCACATATGGTTTTACAGATGCAGTACTAAAAAATAACTGGACGACCGATAGAGGAAACCGCACAAGTACTGCCGTTTCAGTAGACTCAAAAAGCAAAATCAAAGCACAGAAGACATCAAAAGACCCGACTAGTATTAACTCAGCACATATTTCTGTATGCCATACCAAAATACCAATCACTGACGCCAATTCAGCGTGTCCACGGCGATGTTGAAACCCTGCTTCCTTCTAAAGAGAAGGAATTCAATTATCCAAGATACAACCACCAGCGGCAGCAGCAGGAATGATAGACTCCTTCATACCCACCTCTCAAGCAGAGGCCTTGTCAAACTTGAGGGGCTTCACAACCTCCCAGGTGAAGTCAGCATCCTCACGGCCAAAGTGGCCATAAGCAGCCGTCTTGATGAACCTGTTGCCACCCTTCTTCAAGTCAAGGTTGATGCCGATCATCCCAGGCCTGAAGTCAAAGTTCTCCTTCACAATCTTGAGGATCTCCTTATCGGGGATCTTGCCAGTACCATAAGAGTCAACAAAGACAGATAAGGGCTCAGGCACACCAATGGCGTAGGAGATCTGAACAATGCAGCGGCGTGCAAGACCGCTAGCAATGATGCTCTTGGCAGCCTGCCTGGCACTGTAGGCGCCACTGCGGTCAACCTTAGTTGGGTCCTTGCCAGAGAAAGCACCACCTCCGTGTGCTCCCCAGCCACCATAGGTGTCGATGATGATCTTGCGACCAGTAAGACCAGCATCACCATGAGGGCCACCAATGACAAAGCGGCCTGATGGATTCAAGTGGAATATGGTCTTCTCGTCCAGGTACTTCTCAGGGATAACCGGCTTGATGACATGCTCCTTGAGGTCCGCAGCAATCTCATCATTGGTGACAGTCTCATCATGCTGGGTGGAGATCAGAACAGTGTGCACACGTACAGGAACCATGGCACCTCCCTCGTTGAGGTATTCAACCGTGACCTGGGTTTTGCCATCAGGCCTTAGCCAGGCACAAGTGCCATTCTTGCGGACTTCAGTGAGGCGGGCACCCAGCTTGGTGGCAAGCACATGGCTGAGGGGCATGAGCTCAGGGGTCTCATCGGTGGCATAGCCAAACATGATACCCTGGTCACCAGCACCAATATCCTCAGGGCGCTTGGTGAAATGTCCGTGCACACCCTGGGCAATGTCAGGAGACTGCTGCTCTATGTTGACAAGCACCTTGCACCGGTCAGCATCAAGGCCAACATCATCAGAGATGAAGCCAATGTTGCGGCAGGTGTCACGCACAATCTTCTCATAGTCAACAGTGGCCTTGGTGGTGATCTCACCAAAAACCATGACCATGTTGGTCTTGGTGCATGTCTCACAGGCAACCTTGCTGTCAGCGTCTTGGGCGAGGCACGCGTCAAGCACAGCGTCAGAGACCTGGTCGCAGAGCTTGTCAGGGTGGCCCTCGTTCACAGACTCAGAGGTGAAGAGGAAAGTCTCGGCCGCCATTTCTTGAGTGGTGGTGGTGATACTCCAATCTACCTCTGCAAATGCGAAAACCAGTGGTGAATTAGATTTAGAACTCCACAGCAAATTTATAGATGCCCACAAAATGCTAAATCTAAATGGAAGTATTTGTTTCTTCACAGCAGAACTTTCGATAGTAGCAATTGATTATTTATATGCTTACATCAGTCGAAGTGAAGGCTACCTGATTACGATCAATTGAAGAGATGTGTCGGCGAAAATTCCAATTGCTCTACTGGATGAAGAGATTTAAAAATCAATAAAAACATAGCCGAGATCTATAAGACCATCGCATGACCGACAAGTAATCTATTCACTAAAAAGGGCGGATCTTTTGTGCAGGCAACTAGATCCATATGATATATTATTATTTGTTTAAAAGAAGAGACATGAGAAAAGAACAAAAAGATCCAATTCTCCACTCCCCTGATGAACTCTCACGTCCCCTAAATTTCTAACCGACCGTAGAATTTCAAGAAACTAACAAAAGCAAGACTATTCCCAATATCTCCATTGATAGGCGAGAACCGCAACAAAGATACAAAACGGAACGCCGTGAAACCAGATCTACGCCGAAAATCACCATTACCCCTCTTTTCAGCCACCCTCCTGCCTCTTCCCTCACAAAGCAAGAGATCTCAAATCCTATACGTGCAGATCCAGTATAAGAGAGGACAAGAGAGAGACGCGCAGTAATTGGGTAGGGTGGGAAGGGCTCACCTTGCGCTGCCGCTGCTGCTGCTGCCGCCGCGTTTGATCGGAAAGTAGAGAGGGATGAAGTGGGTACGGGGGTATGCACGTAGTTTTTATAGCAGCAGATGCGTCGGGTGCGGATCGGGGAAGAGGATGGTACTAGATGGTTGGAGAGGATGGGCCCGCGCGGGTGTGCGAGGTAGTGCGTGCGAAAAGTATTTCGGCGAGCGTGGTAGGGAGAATGCACGTGAGGACCGCATAGCCAGTGAGTGCTGTGTCGCTGACCGGCTCGACCTTTCCCACCCGTGCTGTCCTCCTCTTCACCAACCGCGCTGCCAACAACCCCACGTTGTGGCCCTGCCTCACCAAACATCCGAAAGAAAACCTTTCTTTACTTTGCCGATTTGTATTGTGTGGTGTGAGGTGTTTTTTCACCAAACCCAGTGTCTCGTCTCGGGAGGATTAGTTTTTTTTTTTAAGATCAAGCATCGCTGGCATTCACTAATAATAGTAGAAAGCAGCGAAAAACAATAAGGTGGCCAAGATCCTAGGACCAAAGGATCTGAAGGTCAAAGAAAAAAAGAAAAGAAAAACAACATCCCAAATAGCTGCAGCACAACACTCTAGGCAGCGCAGCTCTGACTCCAATGATGAACTACCAAGGAAACTAAGCAGGGGTGGCGTCACGGAGGATCACTGAACGAGCCATCTGTCATGTGTCATCGTATACCATCGCCCTCTACTGCGGCTTCGACTTCACAGCAACAGGCAGTCTTAGGAGGGTCAAGGTCAACACACAGGCTAATGCGGAAAAATAATAAATAGGCGATGGACAGGGAGCAACGAAATTTAGCTGAGGGTGTCGGTGTCAAAACCAGCAGATCTCGGGTAGGGGGTCCCGAACAGTGCGTCTAAGATGGATGGTAACAGGAGGCGGGGACACGATATTTACCCATGTTCGGGCCCTCTCGATGGAGGTAATACCCTACTTCCTGCTTGATTGATCTTGATGATACGAGTATTACAAGAGTTGATCTACCACGAGATCTTAGAGGCTAAACCCTAGAAGCTAGCCTATGGTCTGATTGTTGTTGTCCTACGGACTAAACCCTCCGGTTTATATAGACACCGAAGGGGGCTAGGGTTACACGGAGTCGGTTACAAGGAAGAAGATATACATATCCGTATTGCCAAGCTTGCCTTCCACGCCAAGGAGAGTCCCATCCGGACAGGGGACGAAGTCTTCAATCTTATATCTTCATATTCCTACAGCCCGGCCAAAGGATATAGTCCGGCTGTCCGAAGACCCCCTAATCCAGGACTCCCTCAGTAGCCCCTGAACTAGGCTTCAATGACGATGAGTCCGGCGCGCAGATTTGTCTTCGGCATTGCAAGGCGGGTTCTTCCTCCAAATACTCTATAGAAATTTTTGAACACAAGGATAGTGTCCGGCTCTACAAAACAAGTTCCACATACCACCGTAGAGAGAATAATATTTTCACAAATCTAATCTGCTGACACGTTTAGTAACATGACATCATGCCATGGCCCGGTCATTATTCGAACCGTTTTTCTCAACCAGGACTGCACATATCACGAGGCGGTTTTCTTGACACGTCTTGTTGAAGCAGAGATCGTGTCCCCTTATCACGGGATTCTCATCAATACGGATGTGGGTAACCCAACCGCGCCATCAATTACGGCGCTTGAGGAATAAGCGAATTTACCAGATAAGTGGGGAGGCGCATCGCATCTTCCGCCCTTATAAAGGGACAAAGATTCACCATTTTTACCCACGCCTTCTTCCTCCTTGCTTATCCATTCTCGCACACTTGAGCTCCAGCGCCCAAGTTCGCGTCTTTCTCCTCAAACCACTCCAAGCATGTCCAGAGCGGGAGGCAAGTGGATGGTCTCCTCCGTCACGGAGGAGAACATCACAAAGCTACGAGAAGCCGGATATCTGGTCACGGACATCGCGCACCGGCTTCCAGATGCGAGGCAGATCATCCCTACGCCCGAACCCCATGAGAGGGTAGTTTTCCTTACCCACTTTGTCCGCGGACTGGGATTTCCCCTTCACCCGTTTGTCCGCGGGCTCATGTTCTACTACAGGCTGGATTTTCATGATCTGGCCCCTAATTTCATCCTCAACATCTCGGCGTTTATCATCGTGTGCAAGGCCTTCCTCCGCATCAGGCCCCACTTCGGCCTATGGCTGAAGACCTTCAATGTTAAACCGAAGGTGGTGGTCGGCCAGCAAGCAGAGTGCGGAGGCGCCATGGTAGGCAAAATGCCTAATGTCACCTGGCTCGAAGGCTCCTATGTGGAGACCATAAAGGGGTGGAAATCGGGGTGGTTCTACATCACCGAGCCGTGCGACACCAACTGGGTGGCGGCCCCCGAATTTCGATCCGGAATCCCCACGCGGCTCACTTCCTGGAAAGAGAAGGGCCTGTCCTCGGGTTCCCCGATAGAGCTGACCGGACTCCAGACCTGCATCAAGAACATGATGAGCAAGAAGATCAAGCTCGTCAACATGGTCCAGGTCATGCTCTTTCGCCAGATCCTCCCGTGTCAACGACGGGTATTCAATTTGTGGGAGTTTGACCCGGCCAAGGACCAGACGCTGTGAGAGCTCTTCAACACAACGCACAAGGATGACTGGAAGGTGTTGTTCAAGGGCCCCGAGGTACCTCCTCCCCTTACCGAGGACCGCGGACTCAGCGCAAAGCGCCATGCCAATCCGGTCAGTTTTTATATCTCACGGAATATTATTTGCCCCAGTTTAATCATGTGCGGGATCTAAGCTTCCATGCCATTAACAGGACTGGGTAGAGACAGCGGAGCAGATCGATTGCCCAGCCCCCCTGCCTGAAGATCCTGCAGATGCTCTCCTAACGGAGATACTGGTTCCGGCGCCTTACGAGGTGCCAATGAAGAAGGCCAAGAAGAAGGCCACTGGGACCCGAAAGGGTCTCCGGCGCAAGGTTATATTGGACTCATCGTCCAATAACTCCGAAGCGCACTCCTCCCACGAAAACGGGGAGGAGGAAGAGGAAAGTTCTCCCCCCCAGCCGGGGGAGACAAGAAAAGGAAGGCCGCCCCAACCAGGGAGGCCGAAGGGTCCAAGAAGGGAAGGACCCTCCTTCCGGACTGCTCCACGATGGCCGCCCACAGCAACGACGAGTGGTTACCCAGGGACAAGCCCCTGGCGAAGTCGTAAGTATCTGGATACCATACTAATTCATGGTATGTTTTATTGCACTGCTTCTCCTTCCGCCGAATATGATTATGCAGTCCGTCCCGAGCCCGTCTCGACGTATCTTCGTCGGACGGTTCTTTGGACTCATTGGATATGAATAGCGATTCACTTCCGACCGCCTCCACCCCTTGCCCTACAGACAATGTCGAGGTGTTGTTTCAAAAGGCACCGAGCCGAGGAGAGGTAGTCCTGGGGGCGCCTCGAGGTGACCTTCCGGACCCTAGGCGCAAAGGGAGCAAGACTCCGACGGGCTCCAAGTTCGGCCCTCAGCCAAACACTGCGCCGGAACCTTCGGTGGTTCCAGACTCCGGCAGGCGATCCCCCGCTAAGAGGGGCAAGCCGCCCGTGCCGGTGGCCTCTGTCCATCCGAAGGCACCAGACAACTTGCTGGAAGCGCTTCGCGGTGCTTCCATCGATGAAGAGCACCGCACTATCATGAGTACGGTGATCGAGAAAGTTTAGTCTGCCAAAAACGGACTAACTGAAGCTTGTGCCAGCCTCCTAACAGGCTTTCAGGTGAGCAATCAAAATATAGGAAAATATTACCGCATAGACAGTAGCCCCTGATGCTCTGTTTGGCGTTCGCTAAGAAAGGCCGAATAGAGGATCAAATAATGACTCAGGAGTCTAATAAGAATATGTCTATGTGCATATGCAGGCTTCACTGCTGGCCGCTGCCGCACGTACTGCGGAGGTCGCCGCACTGAAGCAGGACCTTGAGCGGTCCGAGGACGAGCTCGGCCTTACCAAGAGGCAACTCGAGGAGAGCAAAGGTAAGCAATACCTTTTCTATATATTAAAAATGAATTTGCCAGGGGCCACGACCGAGATGGCGACCCTGAAGAAGGCGTTGTCCGAGGCCGAAGACAAAGCGGCCAAGGAGCGCATTGAGCGGGAAAAGCAAGAAGCCCGGGTAGGCGAGGTGCAGCAAGAGCTCGAGGCTCTCGCCAAAAAACACGAGTCCTTGGAGCTTGACTCTAAGATGCGAGAGTCCGAGCTTGCGAAGGCGCTCGAGAGCGCATGAAGCGCCAAGGCTGAAGCCCACAAGGCCCTCCAGGAGATTGATGCGGTGAAGAAGATAGCAACAGGTAAGGCATTCATTATGCAAAGCAAGCATGTGAAGGAAACTTTCCTTTTACTTACCCGAGTTCGGAGCTCTCCAGGAGCGTTCGCAGATCTTCCCCGCGGTGTACTGGATGCCGCGGAGTTTTACCGAGTTGAGGAGGGGAGCTGGACGGAAAAGTTGTTCTGGTCTCAGTATACTGGGATCGAACACCCAATGCCCTTAGCGACCAGCTGAAGCAACTGGTCGAGCTTCACAAGGCGACCGAACAGACCATGAAGGGTCTTATAGTCCGGATGTGGCCTGGCGATCCCCTTCCTAGCAGCTACTTCGGTCTGGTGAGGCGGCTTGTGGATGCCTGCCCACGGCTTGAAGTCATAAAGTGGTCCGTCTGCATCGAGGGTGCGCGCAGGGCTTTTGCCCGGGCGAAGGTGCACTGGGCGAAGCTGGACGCCGTAAAGCTGGTGAAGGAGGGGCCACCGGAGGGCAAGGAGCATCGTGCCCCGAAATGTATTATGACAGTGTCCTGAAGGGTTCCCGCCTTGTGGCAGAGGAATGTGCTAGAGATGTAATTTTTGAATGAACATGCTCATGTGATCCTGAAATGTGAAACGAGTTCATTTGCGCTATGCAACGCTTTTTGAATTTAAAATATTACCTTCTGTGTGGCCGTTTATAAAATCTAAGAGTTGGCCAATCGTCGGCTTCTGCCCCCA